GGGGGGCACATTAAAAAGTATTCAAAAATATTCTAGTTAATACTATAATATAAGCATATATTACATGAGAAAATTGAACGTTTCTTTTTATTATTCTCTAGTGATTGTTATTTCAAGTGTAGGTTAACTTGTATACTTATAATGTAACACCAATTTTTTTTGTATTCAACAAAAACTTATTTCCTAGGTTCCTTTCTATGAATATATTTTAAGTGAACATATACAGCTTTAGCTCAGAAATAAGTCTAACTAACTCTTTATGGTAATATTTTACTAAGTTAAATAATTTACCTGAAAAAAAGTGTACATTATATTTTTATTTTATTCTTTAGCAAACTTTTGTGATCTAGAGGAAGTGACTACAGACAAGTTAGATGGTGGAGTAATACTGCCGTGACCGAACTTTCAATAAATCTGGGGTATTGCCACAATTTTTCCAAATGTTGGAATGCTAATTACCCTCGCCCTGCGAGGATACTGTAACCAGGCCCGTGTGTGTGCGTGTCTGTGTTTCCCCCCCCGCGTTTTTGGAAACTAATAAACAGATGAACAAGAAAATTTTACACAAGAAGGAAATTCAGTATGGAATAGTCCTCTCTAAATTTGGTCCAGATCCAAATCCGGATTCAGGATGCCTTTGAATCTTTTTTTTTTTTCAGGGGGAGATAGGGCATTTTCACGGTTTTCGGTTAATAACCAAATTTCTTGAGCACATTAAGGTTGAAACTCGTCATCAGACTACAAAAAATGATCCGGATCGTTGATCATTTTGGATCTGAGAAGGATTTTCTGACTTTTCGAAAATGAAATTTTACGTTATCTAATATAAACTCATGCAATATTGAAAAGGAGCTGCGGGACGAGGTTATGCAATATCTGTGATTGCTCTTGTTTTCTTATGTTTTTACCGGTAGGCTTTCAACAGGGGCGGATTAGGGTGAGAAGGGCCTGAAGCTAAATTTTTCTACCAAGCCTATTATGATCGCGATTAAAGACTAAAATAAAAAACAACAACTAAACCTCAATATATGTTTTACTTTTCGAGACGACGGGAAATTAATACTCACATATTTGTAAGACTCGCCTACAAGTTAATGAAAAATATTAGTTGTTTCTTGAATAGGAAAGGTGGTGCTCTAACAAAAACAAAATTTGAATTTGGACAACAAAGCATATAAACAGAAAGAAACCACAGACACATAAACTCAACAACTTACGCATTCATGCGCGCACAAACAAGCAAACAAACAGATGCACAAACAAAGAAGCAAATGCACAAATGCACAAACACGCTCAGATCACATGGTTATCTCATGGTATGCCTAGCAGCAGTAGCAGATCATGTCATCTGTATTTGGTTAAACTATTGTTTGCCCCCCAGTGGCACAGCGGTATGTCTGAGGACTTGCAACGCTAGAATCCGGGTTTCGCTACCCGTGGTGGGCAGAGCACAGATCGCCCATTGTGTAGCTTTGTGCTTAATTACAAACAAGCAAACTATTGTTTTCCTGGTTCTTTTATAGCAAAGGCATTTATGATATGTTTGGTGTCAAGTGATTCCAACAAGTCACTTTCTATGCACAAAAGTGCATAGTCTGTCTTGACATATAGTTGAACGAAGTGTACTCTTTATCCTTTGTAGCGTCGAGGCACAAGTACATCATTAAGATTATCAGGACGTTCAGAGATTAGTCGCATATCATTCTCAGCATACTCTGTTCCTTGGATTTTGATGATTTTTCAACGAACCCTGCCTTGCATAGGGCGGCAGATTTGGACAATTTCTTCTTCTGTACAACTCTCAAAGTACGTAGTATATGTATTAATCATTTTTTGGCAGAATTATGGAGGTTCTCTGTATGCATGGACTCTAAATTTCGTAGAAAATCCAAATTTGCAACTGACGTTTTCATACCACTATTCTGTTGTCTAGTGCAAGAGATAGTCTGTCAATTATTGTTAAGAACGTTTGAACTTTATATTGAGTAGAGGGTGAAAAATCACTGTCCTCAGCATTCCCTTCGTCCCTTCGTCCCATCGCGTATTTCTATTTCTTTTCCTCATATTCTGGAAATTAATTCTGTAATTCCTGCACGAATGTCTTAAAAGATTTGAGCTGGTGAAAAGCTGTACTGACAGTTAGGAGTTTTGTAATGAAGAACTTGCCTTATGAAACCTCTCCAGGACAACGCTACATAATTTCGTCATTATACCTGTTTCTAGTTGATCCAATTGTAGCATAAGGCTTCTTGACTCTAAGCGCACTTGAAGTTGGCTTTTCAGAATCATCGTCTACAATGGAAGCGAAGACCTCCGTTATGTCTTTGTACCCCATTTTATAGGCTCGCATTGCGTCTGAATGTGTGCTCCATCTTGTGTCTGATGACATCTTTATCATCGGAAACCCTAGTTTTTCAAGCACATCGTGTAGGCGCTTCCACAGGCGGGTTGAAGCTGAGAAACACATTTAAAGCTTTTGCACAAAGGCAAAGGATAGACAAGCTTCAGTACAGCAGTCTATGTCACATTGTCGAACCAAATTGAGCGAATGAGCAGGACCGGGAACATAGTTTGCTAGGGGGGTCGGTTTTTCTTTTTGATCAGGACTTGCATGCCAACATATTTCCCGCTCATATTGAAAGCATTGTCGTGAGACTGCCCACGGCAATTATTAATTCTTATGTCGTTCTTTTCAAGAAAATTAATGAGAATTCTAGCAAGTCCTGTTCCTGTGTGATTGCTTATCGGTACGAATATAGCAAATCTCTCTTCGGGAACATCATCTAAAACGTATTTAAGGATTATTGTCGACCCGGCACGGCCAAGTGGTTAGGGCCCGGCATGGCCAGGTGGTTAGGGCCCCGGCATGGCCAAGTGGTTAGGGCGCTCGACTTGCAATCTGCGGGTTCGAATCCCCGTCACAAACATGCTCGCCAATTCAGCCGTGGGAGCGTTAAAATGTGACGGTCAAGCCCATTATTCGTTGATAAAAGAGTAGCCCAAGAGTTGGCGGTAGGTGGTGATGACTAGCTGCCTTCCCTCTAGTCTTACACTGCTAAATTAGGGACGGCTAACGCAGATAGCCCTCGTGTAGCTTTGCGCGAAATTCAAAACAAACAAAAACAAAATATTATATGTCAGTCGATCCATGTGGGTTATGTCTGGAATAGAATCAACAGACACTGAGTAATACGTAGATGTTTTGATTTTCTAGATAATGGCGGTGAGAACTTCTTTGGGTAGGATTTTTATGAAATCGTCACAAACATTTGAGGATAAGCATGAAACATGACCTTTATTCCCCTTATTTGCGAGTTTGTGAATGTGTTCAGCAAAAAAAACGTGTCATACTCAGCCAATAGCTTCAGTATTCTTAAGTAACTGTCATTATGCACTGAACCAACTATTCCATCGTTTCCTCTGGATGATAAAACCTTTATGACTGAGAGAATGCGCTCTAGAACTTGGTGCCAGTGTTTTTTTTTCTCTGAATCTACCTGCTCTATTAAAGTCATGTCAATTCGTTGGCTTTTGGTTTTACGAATGACAAATTTGGTGACTCAACTATGATGCAGCAAGCTGGTTTCATGCCAACTAAAGTCCCTTGCAGCATGTTTCCAGTCAGAGTAATCAGTTGTTGCTAGAGAGGACGTTTCCATTGCTGTTAAAAATAATTTGCATATAACA